CCCCTTCCCCAATCTCCCCAATCCCTGAATCCCCAACAATCCTCAAACTCCCAATCCACAAATAGCCGGTAACGCACTTGTAACGCCTCTGGTGTTCCAGGTGTCCATGGGCGACGCCGATTGCTTTCCATCAGGTGATCCGTCTGCTCGTTTACCGGCTTATGCCATAAAAAAAAAAAAAAATATATATACAAACAAGCATTCATTTTTATACATTTAGATTAACATAAATAATTATAATAGGTACATTGATTTAAGGCCGTTGATGTCAAACGTAGAGGATACGGGATGCCTCCAAAATACCGGAACTTACGGGAACTTCATATTCATTGTGATATTTATCCCAGAATTTGGAAATTAGCACGAATTTTGTTTTAAGATGAAAAGCGTATATAATATAAATTTGTTTAATTAAAAAAAATCATTCAATTCAACCAATCATATATAAACGTTATTAAACGAAACGATAGGGTAACCCCTATGTATATGTTTTTTATTTTATTCCATAATTCCAATTCCGGAACTTTTCCCGATAGTTCCCGCACATTATGTATAAAATGGTATTTCCATATTTATAATATCTTGACGCAAGTATATAAAATCAATCTACCTATATTCAATATTATCCTATATCCAACCTATTGCCAATTGTATAATGATAATAATAACTGGCGTAATTATTATTTGTACTCTGTATAAGAATTAATAAGTTAACCTATTTATTTTACAACTAATAAACAAGCTTAACGTCATGTTATCAAACAAAACGGGTATTAATAAAAAACAGGTATGTAATTACCCGTCTACCCGACACCAACTTTGAATAAAAAATTACATTGTTTTATACATTTCATGTGTGCCTAGTACTTTTTAATTATTGATAGGCGATGATTTTGTCTTAGAGTTACAGTCACAGAAATATTAAAAAGGTTAACAGTTCTTGATTCTTACACAAAAAATATGGAAATAAATATATTTAGCTACAAAATAGCACTTTTATATAAGCATAGGTACGCTAGATTTTCTAAACGATTTCTCTCAGATAAACTTCAATACAAACTCAGAAGTCAATTTCCGTTAAGTTCATTTTAAGTTTATTATATAATAAACTTACATAAAAAGAGAAATCCTTTTAAGTTTGTTCTGTAGAGGTATTTAAAGAAATAATCACACGAGTTTAAACAGCGAAGTAATGAATGATCGTATTAATTGATTGCAATGTTATTTACAGGTACTGTTTAGGAAACCATACAACGATAAGAGATGTTAATCTGACTAACACCAAGGCGGTGGCCATAGTTTGCGCTGATGAAGAAGAGGAGATCATTGATGACAGGATTCTCGGCTATACTATGATAATCTCCGTTATATTCCTGGTGATGACCATATTTGTTTATAGCTTTCTACCTGAACTTAGGTCAGTACAAAGATTACTATTTCGAAACCATAAGGTGAAATTTGTAAACCGCCGTTCTACCAATTTAATTTCAAATAGCTAAAATCTAATTTCATATATTGCTTAGAAAAATTCATATGTAAAGAAAATCCTTTATGTAAATTTTGAATGGTATAAAAGATTCACTAATAAGAGTTAACTACGCTTATAAATAGGTTAGACTTCATTATGAGATTAATTGAATTGAATCGAACCTTGTAGAATCACGTACAGTTTCATATACTAAATATAAAACTTTATTTTACAGAGATGTTCAAGGGAAAAGTATAATAAACTTCTGCATTAGTCTCGCTATTGGCCTAGGAATACTAGTCATTATGAAACTTATGACTTATTATGATATGGGCTGGTGTGCAACTCGAGGTAAATACAATGATAATAAATATAACCATGTTGTTTACCTAATTAATATTTTTGTACGTACGTAAAAAATTATATTAGCATATATTACAGTGACACTGTGAGCTGATGTTATTGTTTTTTTTAGGATTTCTAGCTTACTTCTTTCTAATAGCTGCATTTTTCTGGTCGAATGCGATATCAATACAGGTGCTGATAAACACAAGGTCAGTAACTATAGCATTTTTTTTTAAAGTATGTTCTCCACTGATCCATAATATTTTTGAAATTTCTACTACCTAGTTGCGTTACCAATTCACATTTTTATCTCGTGAATGATTAAATATTTTTTCAATTCAGATTGATAATCTAATTTAAATATCTAACTTCACCTTTACTTCTGCTTCTGTTATAGACGACCTGCGATATCAATGGACCATGGCTGGAGGCACTTTAAGTTTTATATGTTATATGCATGGGGCTGCCCAATAGTCCTAACAATATGCATGGCAATCGTCAATTTTTATCCGGGTAAACATCAGAAACCGGGAATCGGTCTGAATCACTGCTGGTTTTTTAGTAAGTATTAGTATACACTTTTTCTCGATTGTACAGTCTTATATAGGTAAGTACCATGCTTCACACTAAATTAAGGGCCCTGTGAGTAGAGTTGTTTAATGGCATAGAGCAGCAAACGAGCATACTGATCACCTGATGGTAATGTGATATGCAATCAACGTATTCCATGGACACCCATAACACTAGATAAGTCAAAAAAGTGTGTTATCGGTCTAATAGGGATTAAGAATTTTTGAATTGAGAATTTGGGTATTGGGGATGGGGTTGGGGAATGGGGGTGGATTGGACCTCCGGTCCGATTAGGAGAAAAGGAAATCTTCCTATATCATCACATGGTTATTTCATTTCCAATATGATAATGAGACCAAACCTATTGCAAAAATATAAAGATATAAAAGAAAATGTGTACAAAATCTTATAATATTATTTGTGTTTGCAGATAAGCATCAACAATGGTACTACATGTATAGCATCATGTTCCTACTCTTGGTCATCAACTTCTGTATCTTCATCTACACATCGATTCTAATATGGCGGATACCTGTCTCATCCAGTCTTAAAAGAGCGGTGAAATACAAGTAAATATTTTTACATTGTGACTGCACAGTTGGCGCGGTAGCTGGGCAACTGGCACGCAACATGTCGCGGGTTCGATACCAGCATGGAACAACTCTTTGTCTGATCCACAGATTATTGTTCCGGGTCTGAATGTCATGTGTATGTGAACTTATATGTTTGTAAACGCACCCACGACACCTGAGAAAACCCTTATGTGGGGCAACGTTTCTTAAAACAACAACACCAAAAAAATATTGCCAACATTTGTATACTCAATGGAGCAACAGAATTGTGAAAGTGATACTCATTTCACTATGATTTTATAATGTACCATGTATTTATTTTTTCAGGCTCGGGATGACCGTGCAACTTATCGTACTGATGGGTCTCCCTTGGGTTTTCGAAATGATAAGCTCATTAGCACCGAAGCACATCATTTGGTTAGTATTTATTTTACTGCCTATAAAAAAGGAGGATGTTATTATGTTCAGTTTAGATTGTTCTACTAATTGGGTATTTTCCTTAATCAAAAATACAATACAAAAAAAATATTAAAAAATAATCTTTCATTAATTGATTATTTGTAGGACCAACTAAATTTTATGATTGTTTTTGGGAGAACAGTTAGGTATACTCTCGAGGTGGTCCCGTTGTCACAAAGTCAGAATTTGATAATGGGATCCAAGGAAACCGAAGGGAAGTTTCGAAAATTGTTGGGATAGTTTTATATATGCATTTAATTTTTTGTTTATCGATTTTTTTTTGTTACAAAAACACTTCTGACTAATCATTCGACTTAGTTAGTTAATGTAGTAATTTTAGCTCATTACTAAATTATTGTTTTGAGCTGACGTAGAAAATAAATTATGTTGCGGTTTTTTTTTTTTCAATATTAAATATTCTCCACGGATTGTTAGTACGGACCAAATTGTATGACAGGGGCACAGGCCCCAATAAATTCAATTTATGACAAGGGCACGGGCTTCATATATACAATTAATTGTTAATATTGTATATTAGTATTATATGTATATACATAAAGTTGCGGTTGTCCTCACCTAAATAAATTGATTGGGCCTACTCATAACAATAATGAGCTCGGAACAATAACGTTTACGTCCAACTTGCCTCATTAAGGGATAATGTAACTATGCATTAAAATTGTCTTGGTCTTATATGAGCATCAAGTTAAATGATCTTCCTGTTTAGGCCGACCATGAGTAGTAAAGTCAATATAAGGAATATCAGCAGGTAGGTACAATTAGCGCGTTTATTTACGCAAGATAGGTACATGTGCAAATTGGTATCGTGATCTAAATGCAATTCATCTACATAGTCTACAATATATTGCCAAGCGAAATAGACAACGGACGCCAGAAAAAAACTGATAAAACCGAATTAATATGGTCAAAGTAAACAATTAGTATCGTGTGATAGCAACTAAAAAAAATGCGCTGCTGATAAGATTAGGTAGGTATATAGCGTTTTATCAGACTCCTAATTTTAAATGTTACATAATGAACAGTCAGCACAGCTATTTACTACTCGTGTAAGAAAATAAAGATTGACTCAGTACAGATACAGTAACCATTGTTCGCTATTTGATGTTAGTCTGATGTCTTGTCTGAATAGTAAATAGCTGTGCTGACTGCACTTAGTCCACCTAAAATAACATTAAGTACCTACAACATATCATTAACATGCAAAATTATGGCATAAATTTCGTAATTTCAATTGATGTTCGTTTGTCTCTGCCTCACACCTGTCTCCCATGGGGGTCCATGGGACATACCTACAGCAGACGGATCACCTGATGGTAAGCAATCGGCGTCGCCCATGGACATCTAGAACACCAGAGGCGTTACAAGTGCGTCACCGGCTTTTTGGGGATTAGGAGTTTGAGGATCGTTGGGGATTCAGGGATTGGGGAAATTGGGGAAGGGGAAGGTAATTGGGCCTCCGGTAACCTCACTCACACGACGAAACACAATGCAAGCGTTGCTTCACGTCGGTTTTCTGTGAGGCCGTGGTATCACTGCGGTCGAGCCGGCCCATTCGTGCCGAAGCATGGCTCTCCCACACTTATTTAGTATTATATTCATATTCAGTACACAGACACAACATTTTAATTTTATAAGCGTCTGAGACGACCACTCGAAATATTATGGCTTCATTAAAGCATACAATTTATTATACCAACAGCTTCCACCGATCAGCAGTCTTTGTACTTAGTTAATCTTTATTGTCTTATCTGCATAGTATATTTATTTTATATCGAAACTATTAAGTACTATATAACGTCAACGAGCACAGTGCACGAGTTTTACTTTATTACCTTGTAACCTATTTATTTTTAAATTTATTTACCCTTTGAATGCACCGATATGAGATACAAGAGATAATACATTGAGTCTCGCGTGGATTCACGTCTTAAGACACACGAAATGTTATACAAAATACTGTTAAATGTCGCCATTCGAGGTCGGTAAGATAGGCAGAAAGGAGCAGGCATACCTGCTGGTCATTGTGCATAAAATAAATTAACATATTTGATAATTTTTCAGGACCATAATGGACATCATCAACACTCTACAAGGAATATTAATATTTTTGCTGCTAGTTGTATTCCGCAAACGAGTAATCAAAGTGATGTACAAACATGGCTGGCTCGACTGTATATCAAACTACGTTGAGAAGTACCTGGCGACGAAAGATGATGAGGAAAACGTAGTCCAACACACAGACGTCCCTATGAATGACAGAACAGTCCTTTAAAATCCTTTAGTGTGCAATCGACAAAAATAAAAAACTGCGTTTAAATAAAAAAAAACACAAACGAAAAGTAAAAAATAAAAAGCAAAAAGTAACTATTATTGGTCATACGTACTTATAGCTTACACACCCATTGGTAGGTGAGAAGTCGATAATGCACCATATAATGCACCTATGAGGGTGCAAAGTTTTCATCAATACAAATTATTCAAGCTCAAACACCACACCAGGATGCTTACTCTTGAAACCAATGTCAATGTCAATGCTATTTCAATCCAATAAAATCTCAATTATTATTCAATGTCAACATTACACTACCCCTATCGTAGCTGTTGAAATAGCATTCAGAGTACGGAATATAAAGCCAAACTCAATACCATTTAGTTCACTCAATATCCACGCAATACGGATGCAATGGGCGCTAGTGTTGCAACTCGAGAGTACGAAATATCACAATACCAATGTCAATCGATCGGAATTATATTCAAGAGTAAGCCCCCAGGTGGCTACCGTTAGTGGGGAGTTCAATTCGCTATAATACTACTTCATCATTGGACTTTTAATGACAATCACACATCTAGATGCAAAGTCCTCATCAATACAAATTAATCAAACTCAAACACAAGATAGCTACTGTTAACCGTTGAGGTGTTAGCTCGACTGGCTCTCGGCTCCATCATCAGATGGACTCCAGACCTTCATCAGACCATAATGGTTTTAAATACTTAGTGAAAAATTAACAAATACTCTAGTCGCCCCTATAATTTTTAAAAGTTCCCCTTGATTCCTCTGGGATTCCATCGTCAGGTCCTAACTTGATGACAATGGGAACAAATGACAAGCCTACCCTTTGATATAAAAAAAAAATTTTTTTGATATGGGTCCAGGCGTCTTCGAGTAATCGAATAACAAACATAAAAAAATATAATCGAATTAAGAACCTCTTATCTATTCTTATTTTATCTTTGTTTTTGAAGTCGGTTGAAAATAACAAAGTCAGTGCACGGTTGGAACAGTGGCTGGACTGCTGTGTGTGCAACGTGTCGTGGGTAGGCTGATTCGGTTCCCGCTTGGTTCATAGCACGACACAGAAAATCCTAGTCAAGGTCAACCTTTAAAAAATATATAACTTAATCGATTTTAAAGTTAAGATTAAAAATATTATAAATAGAGTAAATAAACCTAACATTAAAAGTTAGACTAGATGACACTGCCTCAGGCACTAAGTATTATGTGTATCTAATAACTTTAAACAAGCAATTCTTGTACCTTTATATATATCTCTTGTATATATATATATTATTGATCTCGGAAACGGCTCCATAAATTTTCTTGAAATTTTGTATATACGGGTTTCGGGGATACATCAATCTGGTTAGGTTTCATTTTCAGAAAATGTCGTTTTGTCCGTGTTTTCATTGACTAAAAATTCTCATTACAAATTACAATCGTATAAATAGCTTAGTAGGAAGATATACAATTTTCAAATTCAAGCCCGGTCCGGATTTTCTTTATTTTTTCAGTTTTCTATTTTATCTTTTTTATTCTATCTTATTTTTATTTTCTTTGTTATTTTATCTCTATTCTTTTTTTTTATTAAAAAATGAGACGATTTGAGATTACTGATAAGAACACCGAGCAAAGCTCGGGTCATTCATTTATTGAACTGTTAAATAAATAATTATATAAAAAATATTAAAAATAATTTGCTTGTGTACCCGAATGACTGCCTTGTTGACCGAGTGGTCGCAAGTGCTAACTGCCAGGCAAGGGGTCTCGGGTTCGATTCCCGGGCCGGCCAAAGTACAACTGGGTTTTAAAAAAAAATGTCAATCTGGAATTCTGCCCGGTATATGGCAATAGGCTCACACCCTATTACATGGGATTGGGATATTGTACAGTGGCATTAAGTGCCGTAATGTGCACCTCTGCCTACCCCTTCGGGGACAAAAGGCGCGATGTTATATAGGTATCGAGTGTGTTCAAAACCCTTACTTCAGTACTTAATACCTATATTCTGATAGTCTAGCATAGCTAGAAAGACGCCTACAAGGCGAGTTTACTTAACAATGTAGTTTAACTCTATACGTGTTAAGTGAATTATAAACACTTTTTGTGTAAGAGTAAAATAAAATAATATTAAAGTACGTAGATACTTACATTGTTATAAATTCGAAATAATGGTCATATTAATAGATTACTAAAAAAATACACAGGTACACCACAGGAGTACCTATAGAAATGTAACAGCATGTTATTGAATTAAGTACGTGTAGTGTATCACAAACTGCACTGAGACAGTGACAAATGTAACTGTAGGTCTAGGTGCAAGCCACCAGAAGGGGTCTAGTAAGACTGATGTGATGCCCGACCCAGAGCTGCAAATGACCTAGCATGTTCCCGGGGCTGGGGCTTTTATAGTCAGTCAGTATGACACTCTCTCTCATTTACGGCAGAGGAAGGTATTTGGCTGTCTCGTTAGCCGAGTGGTCGCAAGTGCGACTGCTAGGCAAGGGGCCTCGGGTTCGATTCCGAAGGGTTTAAAAAAATCTAATAAGTAGCACGGAGTCTGGAATTGTGCCCGGTTTATAGCAATAGGCTCACCCCCTATTACATGGGACTCATAACTTAAATAGTAAAAAGTGGGTGTTATATTACAGTGGCATAATGTGCACCTCTGCCTACTCCTTCGAGGATAAATTGTTATGTTATGAAGGTATTTGGTAATTATTCCCCCTCAAAAAAAAAGGTATAGGTGCAGCCATGGACCTGCGAGCCGTTTGCGTTGTTAATAAAATATAAAGTGAACTATGTATACCCTTTCGGACCCTCGTGATTCATGTAGATAACTTGCTAAGTTTCATGGTGCACTTATAATATTTTTAATTATTATCGGTAGCCTAGTTTTAAAATCACGTATCACGGTTTTATAAGGTCCACCTATATGAAACGAACTATGTATTTATTTAAATCTAAGAATCTGAATAAGATGCCATTACTATTTTATGATACCATCAAGCTGGTTTAATGAAGGAATCGGCAGTAGGCTAAGGATGGACAAAACCTTTATAAATTGGTTTTGTTCATTTTTCTCAATAACGAGGACATTATAATTAATTGATTATTTTGTTTAAGTTGTAAATTCTTTAGTTTTAATTGCACAATTGTAAATATGTATGTGTCATTGCTTTAATAAAAAAATTAGTAAGCGCTGTCAATAATATATGACTCGTGTCCACCGTTCATTTTTAACAAATTTAATTTTATTGAAATAAAAATATTACCACGGTAACTGTGTTTTTTAATCATAACCTGTTCTAATTAGTTAGTATAATATTATTTCTTTTAGATCAATTTTATAATCACAGTAATATTATAAATGTGAAAATTTCTTTGGATGTTTGCCCGTCAATCACGCTGAAACTACTGAACGGATTTTGATGAATTTTGGTATACAGGCACGGTATGGGCTGACTTACGTGACAGAATACTTTTCATCCCAATTGAATGCTCCTATGGGATAAAACAGGAATCAAAATAGCTAAATAGCTGTTGCCCGCGACTTCGCGTACAACAGCTATTTAGCTATTTTATAATTATTATTGTTGTACCTATACCGCAAAATGGATATAAAAGTAAGGATATTCTTACTAATATTATAAGCGTATGTCGTGTCGTGATGGCCAATGGTTTTTTAAAGGGGAAAAATCATCGAATTACGCTCCCGTCTGCCGCCGTTCCTTCTCCTGCACTTCGAGCCGGAGTCGCGGTAACCCGTTAGGTTCTGGCAGCCCAGAGATCTCACTCAGAAGTTATAACAATATTAACAATAATAATTTGAGTACGGCAGCGCCATCTGGTTTGCGGCGGAGTAACTGGTAGAAAATTGAATAGTACCTATTTGTCTTTGATGCAGGTAAGCGTTACTTTATAGTTGGCACTTGGGTTAATAATAACAACGACAAAAAAGTTTTTTGTCTTTAAATGTCTATAGTCTGCTATCTTTAAACGTATTCGAAAAATCGCATGTAATGCTGAAAGCTGTGATTGCAAAAAACATAATTTCAGAAGTCAAAGAATATTTCGATAATACGGTATAAATATTCCAATAGACTCATAACATAAATAGTGAAAAGTGAGTTATATTGTACAATGGCATTCAGTGCCGTAATGTGCACTTCTGCCTATCTCTTCGATTCGGGGGTAACAGGCGTCACCTTCCTTCTTATCTGGAATCATGATTTGGCGAGGAATTATGAAAAGAGTATTATGGCACAAATAGAAGAACTAAGTATCCATTTAGAAAAACATACCCAGGCATAAAGCGCCTACTTTATTTACTCATGCCATCTTTCAAGAAACGTATTGCTATTATTTTTTATCAGTGAATTTGTTACGACGTTATTAAGACTACTGACTTCATTGATCGAGTGGTTGCAGTGTAATTGCCAAGCAGGGGGTCTCGCCGTTTATGGTTTTGTTCCCGAATCGGACAAAGTATTACCGTGCTTTTTCAGTTTTTCGCAAATCTTAGTACCTAGTAGAAAGGAATCTAGAATGTCCCTAGTGTAGGCTAGGTTTCTTTTAGGTATCTTCTACGACATGATATTTATTAACTTACTAAACGAGAGTGTTTCGTGTAACTGGAACTGTCAAATGTATTTAAATTTCCCGCCTTCTTACTAATGTCAACTTGTAACATTTTGACTATGGTCACTCTGTTCGCGCTCGTTTTTCTTATTGTGTCGAAGTTCTATTACAAGCTCAATTTAAGCATATTAGTTTCATTTATTTCAACAGGTTATGGGCCCAGATAGCTCTAACGTGTTGTTTCTGCAAAAAGTTAACAGTACTATAAAGTGATTAACGTAAAATAGTTAAAAAAAAGTGCTCACGCGTGCATAACCTAAAAGTTACCGGTCCGCGTCGCGAGTTCTTTCTGTATTTCAGCTATCAGATTTCTTTGCAAAATGAATAACATAACTATGACAATTCCCAAACTGACGGGACGGGAAAATTGGTCTACGTGGAGTTTTGCTGTAAAAACTTACATACAGCACGAAGACTTGCATAACTGCATAACGTCAGAACCAAACCCCAATGATCCAAAAGCAGTGAAGGATGACGTTAAAGCTAAGTCGAAATTAATATTATTGGTTGATCCAATCTTATATGTTCACATCCAACAAGCAGAAAATGCCAAACAAGTATGGGATAATCTTACAAAAGCATTTGAAGACAGTGGATTAACTAGAAAAG